TCCATGGTATACTCTACCACAACGAGGTTAGGTTTAATGTACAAACAGGACCAATACAGGACTCTAAAAGTTATCTGACAGAATCAAGTAATTGCTTCCACGCAGGGAATTTGTGTATTCAACCTCTATAAAACAAATAGGGGGTAAGAAGTAGGTAAAAGGAATGCTAACCCAGGGGCTGGGGAGATAGCACAGCGGGTAGGGTGTTTGCCTTGCACGCGGCCGACCTGGGTTCAATCCCTGGCACCCCATATGGTCCCCTGAGCACTGCCAGGAGTAACTCCTGGGTGCAGAGCCCGGAGTAACCCCTGTGCATCGCCGGGTGTGACCCAAAAAGCAAAAAAAAAAGAAGGATGCTAAAGGGGTATGAATAGTCAATAAACAAAAAGTATGGCACCAGGGAAAATGTTCGTCACCACTGTGCAAAAACTATGGCAAGAAAGGAACCACAAGAACCTGAAAAACACATTCCACTAACAACAGATCCAAAATACTGATCAAGCAGCTAAAAAAAAATCCGATTTTTAAAACGCAAATGTTTGACAAATCGCAAATCATGTCTTTTTTATATTTTTGGGGGGGGGCGGGGGCGGGGCGGGGCTGCCAAGAAAATAATACTAGAATGTATTCAGGCCCCTCAAACTTGATTTTCTCCTTTTCTGAAGTCATGCTTCGAAGACAAGGATCTAAGGGCTGGTTCACTCTACAACCACTGCCAATTAAGAGTAAAAAGAGACTATGAAACATAGAATTGAGGTATCTGCTGACAGTTCCAATGTGACAGAACTATTAATGGAACCAGTTGTGAGCAAAAAGTTGTCGTCTCTCAGGGTAAGAGTCTGACTAGATTAAAGAACTAATTAACCAAGAACATGTCCTGACTTCAGACTTTCAAGAAACTAGTGGATACCACTTAAAGATACCCAGGAAATACAGCTGTGAAAGGTATTTTCTCTACTACATTGTTACATGCTAAATCTTAACCATCTTGGTAACATGTAGGTTGACGGCATTCTTCATAAAAATTGTCAGGCATGTTTGGAACTGTTGCTCTTCTTAAGAGATCACATTGGCATGCCTGGATGGTGTCAACACTCTATGCCCAGGACATGAATGTGCATTATCTTGTTGTAGTTAGTGTGAATTATCAAGCTCAAAAGTGTTTAGAAGGTACGGTTATTTAAGAAGGACATCTTGGTGAAGGTCCATACTATCCTGAAAGACCACCATGACCGAATCTTGCAGCACGCTGAGAGACTGATCGAGATTTTTACAACAAAGAATTCTCTCACAAGCTGCTTTCAGTGGTGGTGGTGAGAGCCACTGGTCTTGATGAAGACAGTCATCGTGAAAATTCCTAAAGCACTCTTGTAAGCAGCAAAGTCTTCTTCCAGTTGGTGTCCACAAAGGACCTCTGACTCAGAGTTATTCCACTGGGATCAAGCTGGATTTAGCAAAATTTTATTTGAATTTCAGTCCTTGACATAAAGCTTCATGGCTGAATCTGATGTTTCGTGAAGTTTTAGAGAAGTGAGGAGATCTTGGAACTTGATCTTCCTGACAGAAATAAATCGTTCACAGGCTTGTCATTCTGCAAGGATATGACAAGATGAAACCTACAGAAGGAATTACTAATGACTCGAAGATGGATTTGCTTTCCTGTGTTAGTAAACAGAAATCTAGTGATGGGCTATTTCCAGATCCAAAAATCTACTAGTCCTCAGTTTACCAGTATGATTTTCCTCAAGAACAAATCCTTAAATTTTTTTTTTTTGGGACCACAAAAATTCCGATTTCTGAGTGTCTTCCTCTAGATTTATTTCGGACCAAAAATAATGGAGAAACCTTATCCAACACTGCCTGTTCATTTGGCCAACAGAGTATGAGTCTATGAAACACTTCTTTGCGAAAGTCTAGGAATTCAAATGTTTGTTGTGGTAATTCCAGACACGTATTGGGGTTCTGAGTTCTTATTTACGAGTCCTACCTGTCAAGACTGTTTTTGGAGTAGCGAAGAGCGAGTAAAGTGGGTAAAGGCTCTTCGCGGGTTATACTGCCGAAGAGGACAAGTTACTAATTCTTGTACCCATGGCGTTCCGGTGAGTCTCCCTTTTTTCTGTATCGATAGGGGTGGTTCCGAGGTTTGTACCAATCACCTTTGGAGTATCCTCGGTTGTGATAATGGGCTTTCTGATCGTGACTGTAAAAGTATCGGTGTTGGCCATAGTACTTGCTGTGGTCTTTGTAGTCGTTTTCCTTGATGCTGTGTTCTTCTGCCACTATGGCGTTCACATCTTGTCCAAAGAGGGACGTCCCATCGAAAGGCAAGTGTGAGATCTTCTCTTGGGTTTTCTTGGTGAGCGACGTGAGTCGGAGCCAGGCCTGCCTCCTGTAGTCGATGGACATGGCCATGACGCGGACAACAGAGTCCATGATGTCCCTAGTGGTACAGAGCTGCCAAAGGCCGGCATCCATCCCATCCGAGATGATGCATCTCGCTTTGCCGCGATCAAACTCCGGGTCGTGGACCAGATCCTCCATGTCTTCCCAGAGTTTACGCTGATACTGGGTCATGTAGGCCATGTAGCTAGCAGCTCGAGCCGCGATGGACGCAGCATGGTAGAACCGACAGCCCATGACCTCCATCTCTTTGGACGTGGCGTCGAGCAGGGACGCGCCTCCTCGCTTGCTGTGCTCCAAGGCCTCCACGATAGGGCCCTCGGCTGGCGGGTTTGGCTGGAAAGGGGACGTGTCCTTGGCCACGGGGTAGACCCGGTGCCCCATGAAGGAAGAAGGATGGCAATCGGCGGGGTCTTTGAAAACCTCGGTGGTCGCAATCCTTAGAAGCGGATGCAAGGGAGGAACCAGTCGCTTCTTGGAAGTCACATAGTCGGGTTTCCCTTCACACGCCTCCGCGTCAGACTGCAACGTCACCCTCTTTATGACTCCTCTTTGTTCCATTCTCTTCAAGAGACCCGTGAAGCTGGACTGACTGGGGTCCGCGGGATGCCCCTTGTCATCAGCGGATGGGGATTTACAGTCGGCCTCTTCCTCGACCGGAGAGAGGGTCTCTTCTTTGGAGCTGGAGATGTCCCAGGGCACGGAGGAGTTCTCACTTGGCCGAGAATGATGAAACCTGAAACAGCTCCTGGACTGCAGGTCACGTATCACCCTGGACATCTCAGCCACTTGTGTCTGGAGATAGAGGATGGCATCCTGTCCGTGATGGGACGCTGCAGAAGCCTCTTTGGGTGGACTCTCCTTGACCTCTGGAGAGGCCACGGGCTCTTGGGGGACCAGAACTGGTGACGGAGGAAGAGTCTGAAAATTCTCGGATGGTCTGAGCGCCTCCGTCTCAGAGACCTTACCACCGGAACTATCTGGGCCATTTTCCTGGCTCTCCACCGGGTTCTCAACAGAAGGAGGTTGAGAAACTATTCTTTGTGGACTGGCGGTACAACTCCCAGAGGAGGAGCTGCTGTCTCCCATGGGAAGAGGCACACTGCAGCCAGAGCACATTTCTGGACGATGGTTCTCAGAGGCTGGCACCTTAGACTCAGGCATTCTCTGTGTTATCCACACGAACGAGAAAACCAAGGAAGAAAAAAAACACGCTTTTTAATATATTAACTTTCAAGTGCAGTGATGCATGTCCAGTAAGTAGAACGCATTTTTTTTTCTAATTACTGTCATCAACAACGAAAGGGCAATTCAACACATGTGGGCAAGGGGATCACTGGCTCCAGTACCCCAACCCCCAATACCACTACCGGGATTAATCTGTCACTATGAAAACCGAAGTAAAAATAAGCCCAGTTCAAGTAATGCCATTCTAGCCAGCTGCTGAGTCCTTTGGCAGGGTAACCAAAAAAAAAGGGAAGATTGCTGGTAGTAATATTAAAATAAAAACTTCATTCTACAACACAATTCAAAAAGTGGAAGCTAACATGGCAGAGAGAATGTGGGAAATAGACCACTGAAAATAAAAATTCTTCTACTTCATTCTCCAATAATAACAAAACTTTCCAGTTCTGTAGAAACAGACTTTAATTTGTAGTTTTCAAGAAGCTCACATGTAGATTTATACCCGATTTCATCCCCACAACAACCCTGTGAGGTAGGTGTTATTCTTTTTTGTCTGATAAAGAGACAGTGAAAAGGCTACTTCATTGATCCAAAGTCAAGATTAGTATAAAATTAGTAAGGAGTAATGCCGAGACTAGATTCTAAGTATTTTTATTCCATAGTCAAGTGTTAAACCCCTACATCATAGAACAAGAAGCTTTCTGGCACCCTGAAAAAGAGCCAAGAGTTCTCTAATCCATCAAGAGTTCATTAATAGAAATTTGGGCTAAGACAGGAAAAAAAAGACAAGATCGTCCAAAGGGCTTCACGATTGTGGTTCTGAGAGTAACAGGAATATTCACGTAAAGGTCAAACTCATCACCAATAAATCAGAGTCGAGAGAAATAGTAAGTCCAAAACTGTGGGTGGACAGAGGTCAGAATGACTCTAGTCATCTTTCGGTGAAAAGCCCTTACCCATATTCCATTTTCTAAAAATTCTTTAGATACCCTTTTTTCCAAACGAAAACATTTTCCGTAGGTGCGTGGTTCTGGCAGAAGTAGATCCGTCTCTCCAGAGTACTCACAGATAGACAGTAAAAGGGAAGGTTGCAAGGAGCCAAAAAGCTTGAGATTTGATTTCATTTCCTCTCATCAGCAATTCTCTTTGAGGCTTACAAGGTTCTTATGTCATGTTACTATTTCACACCCTCACTAACAAGAGGAACAAAACTAGTAGAAATAGAAGATGTTCTCCGTTAAGGACTGACTCCTGAGCAAGCTCTAAGAAAACTGGGCTGTATAGTTGCTGAACAGTCAGCCATCATTAAAAACAATCTTTACAGAATGCCTCTTAATGACAGAGGTTTCTTCTTGAATGCATCTTAAAAACGACACATTTTTTTCAAAGCAAATCAAGCATCACTATGTACTTACATCACTATGAGAGGTGCTAGGTTCTTCATCATCACTGCTAACCAGATCAATGTATTCAAGAACAGGTCTTAATGGTCCTTCCTATAAAAGAATTAAGCAATTAAAAAAGTTGTAAGCAGTTATCCAAACAAATTATTTAAAATAATCACCTTTTTTTGGAGGGGGGAGGGGAGGGATTAAGTGGCAAGAATTCCTCTGAACTGAAAGACTCATGAGTAGCAGAAAAGATCATTACAGCGGGAAACAGAATAAATCCTTACTTCTAAACACTGAGATGGACCAGTTTAAGTGAAAATATATATATATATATATATATAGAAATACATAACCTGGTCTTCAAATACCGACACTTTGTTGAAAACCGAAACAAGGAATGTTATTCAAGAACCAACTGAGCAAGACAACAAGACTGGAGGGAAGAGCATGGACACCAGCGTGAAGGCTGTGTTGACCGGGGCTGGGGACACAGCAGAGGAAACGTGCTTGCTCCACACTCAACTGACCCAGGTTGGATCCACGGCACCCCGTGGAGTCCTCCGAGCCTTGCCAGTTCTCATCCCTGAGCACAGAGCCAGGAGCAAGCCCTGGACACCACCAGATGTGATGTGACCCAAGACAAAACAACAACAACAACAAAAAACAACCAAAAAAAGACTGTTGATTCTTTGGTGAAAGGAAAACTGATGTAAGAAAGCTGGTATGCAAGAATAGCTGAGATCAGCACCAGGAGGATTACTCCATAACTTAGAGGCCAGCCGGGTATCCCAGAGGAAAGGGCAGTTCAGATAGAGAAGGGAGCACCAAATAAAGGGTGTTAGGAGGATCCTCCCAGGAGGGGAGATGCATGTCGAAAGTAGACTATGGACTGAACATGTTTGCCACTCAATGCCTCTTTTGCAGACCACAACACCCAAACGGAGAGAGAGAACACAGGGGATTGCCCTGCCACAGAGACAGGGAGGGATGGGGGGATGGGGGTGGGAGGAATATTATCCATGGTGGTGGAAAATGGGCACTGGTGGAGGGATGGGTATCTGATCATTGTATAATTGAAACCCAAGCACAAAAAATTGTAAATCTACAACTTTAAAAAAAAATAAAATACAATAAAGGGAAAAAAAAAAAAAGAAAGCTGGTATGAGGACTCAGGTATAAAAGCTAATGCTTTTCAGATGAATCGGCAGCATCGACTGTCTTAGATATTCAAGCTCAAACTCAGGGCTGGAGAGAGAACGCAGGGGTTAAGGCACTCACTAGCCTTGCAGGCAGTGCACAAAAGACTTGAACAGCCTGGCTTTACTTCCCACTCCGAAATTCAAACATCAAACCTGACTGACTCCTGTCCTCCAGTCTTCCTACTCACAGAAATCCAATGTGCAGATTAGGCCCTGAAGGGTAGGTCTAGAAACCTCGATTTTATTCTATAGACAAAAATAATCAATGAACAGTAAAATGAAAATAGTACCATGAGGAGGCTGGAGTCTGAGAGAAGACAGTGGGTAGGACGCTTGCTTTGCATGCAAGTGGCTCAAGAGGGCTCCATCCCCCCAAGCCCAGCCAGAAGTGAACCCTGAGTACCGCCAGGTATGGCTGAAAAAACAAAAATTTTTTTAAAGAGTACCATGAGATCTGCCCACACGGCAGAGTCTGGCAAACTCCCCGTGGCGTACCCAATATGCCAAATACCAGTAACAATGTTGGGTCTCATTCTCCTAACCCTGAAAGAGCCTTGAATGTGGCACTTTTTAAAATCTCAGGGCTAGGGCGCAGGAGGCGTTACTGGGGCCTGCTCGAGGCCATCGACGAACAACAGGATGATCGTGATCATGACCATGAGCTCTATGTTTTAAAAATACTGGAGCTGGAGTGATAGCACAGCGGGTAGGGCATTTGCCTTGCATGCGGCCAACCCGGGTTCGATTCCCAGCATCCCATCCCTGAGCACCGCCAGGAGTAATTCCTGAGTGCAGAGCCAGGAGTAACCCCTGTGCATCGCCAGGTATGACCCAAAAAGAAAAAAAAAATACTGAAGATGGGGAGGGCGGGGCGGAGGGAAAGAAGGTTCATCACATATTAACATACAAAACAGGAAAAAACAAAGCAATGAATCTCAGGGCTGGAGTGATTGTACAGCAGGTGGCTTTGCACACAGCTGACCTCGGGTCTATCTCCAGCCCTCGATGATGCGCCGAACCTGCCAGCAGTGACCCCCGAGCAGAGTCAGGACTAAGCCCTGAGCACGGCTGGTATGCCCCCTAACAGATAAAAAAAAAAAAAATCAACAACAAGCGAATTAGTCCAGGTACACAATAATGCAGAACCAGTACAGTGGTGATGACAAAAGGGGACAGTGTTGCAGCAGTGAACAGAGACCTCACGTACACGACAAATAAATGAACTGTTAAAAAAACAACCGTTATCAAGCTGGAGGTTTTAGTACAGCGGATAAGGCACTTGCCTTACCCAAGTCCAACCAGGGTTTAATCCCTGGCACCACACACGCTCCTCGGAGCCTGTCAGGAGTGACCTCTTGTGTGCAGAGCCAGGGGTGAGCCCTGGGCACCACTGGCCGTGGCCAGAAAGAAAGAAACAAGTCAATAAATAGCAAGCACTCCAAAGGTCTCTAAAAAGCCTAAAGACTGGTACGCAGAAGGATAACAATACCAATAGTACAATTTACAACACCAAACCTGAAAGCCTGTGTTCTTTTGAACAGAAGGGGTTGACTGCTAGTGGAACATGGGAATCATCTGTCAGACACATGGGAATGCAGGCCTGGAGCCTGCATGTACAAAAGTAACCGGAAACAGAATTGGGAGCTGTTCCGATAGATCACTAAACTGGTGAAACACTAATACCCAGGGGGAAAGAAGCAGAGGCAGCTCTACAGAAGTGCTGGGACTTGGGTCTGGGGCGACGGTCCAGGGCTTGATTCCCGGCACCCGAGAGGGTCCAAGCTTCACAGTCAGGAGTTAAGCCCTGAGCACCACTGGGCGAGTCCCCGACACGAAAAATTCTGGAATTCAAGAAGAGCTTAAGTGGGCTATCGAAGATAAGAGTACACTCAGAGCTGCACAGATCCGAAGAAGTTAAAGAGAGGAGACCTCAAAGAAAAGGGTTGACTGGTGGGCCAGAGAGAGAGTCCCGGCCAAGCAGGGCACTACTTGCCTTGCGTGCAACCAGCCCAGGTTTGATTCCTGGCATCCCACAGGGTCTCCCCAAGCACCTCCAGGGGTGATTCCTGAGCACAGAGAAGCAGTAACCCCTGAGCAACACTGGGTGTGGCACAAAACAAAAAAAGGAGAGGAGAGGAGGGGAGAGGAGAGGAGAGGAGAGGAGAGGAGAGGAGAGGAGAGGAGAGGAGAGGAGAGGAGAGGAGAGGAGAGGAGAGGGAGGAGGAGGAGGAGGAGAGGAGGAGGAGGAGGAGAGGAGAGGAGAGGAGGAGAAGAGGAAGAGGAGGAGGAGGAGGAAGAGGAGGAGGAGGAGGAGGAGGAGGAGGAGGAGAGGAGAGGAGAGGAGAGGAGAGGAGAGGAGAGGAGAGGAGAGGGGAGGGGAGGGGAGGGGAGGGGAGGGGAGGGGAGGGGAGGGGAGGGGAGGGGAGGGGAGGGAGGAGGAGGAGAGGAGGAGGAGGAGGAGAGGAGAGGAGAGGAAGAGGAGAGGAAGAGGAGGAGGAAGAGGAAGAGGAGGAGGAGAAGGAGGAGGAGGAGGAGGAGGAGAGGAGAGGAGAGGAGAGGAGAGGAGAGGAGAGGAGAGGAGAGGAGAGGAGAGGAGAGGAGAGGAGAGGAGAGGGGAGGGGAGGGGAGGGGAGGGGAGGGGAGGGGAGGGAGGAGGAGGAGAGGAGGAGGAGGAGAGGAGGAGGAGGAGGAGAGGAGAGGAGAGGAGGAGAAGAGGAAGAGGAGGAGGAAGAGGAAGAGGAGGAGGAGGAGGAGGAGGAGGAGGAGGAGGAGGAGGAGGAGAGGAGAGGAGAGGAGAGGAGAGGAGAGGAGAGGAGAGGAGAGGAGGAAAAAAGAGAAGAGTATGATGAGGGGCCAGAATGATAGTACAGTGGGCAGGGCATTTTGCTATAGCAGAATATGGTTTATGGAAAGAGTCTAAGGCTGGGAAAAGCTGGCTATTGGCAAGCCAAAGTGAAACACTCAGTGGAAAAACTAAAGTAAAACAGCCTTGGACTGAAGATACAAAAGCTGAGATCTAGTCAGAGACCGGCCGTCTTCCTGAGAAGAGACATCCAGTCTCCAACAGAGCTGCTTTCTCCCACAAGCTCCACTACCACGATTCCTGCAGTCAGTGATCTAGTCTCTGACCAACAACAGAGACCAAAACCACTGGGCAGGCATCACGTAACAGTTAGGACTTCCACATAGGCTGTAAAAAAATAAAAGGAAACGAGGGGGTAAATACTCCCCAGTGTACAACCAATACAAGTATTTACCTACTTGAAGGGTCAGAATGACAACACAGCAGGAAGGGCACTAGCCGTTCCCGAAGATGACCCAGGTCCATCCTGGCCCTCCCAAATGCTGCCCCGGCCACAGCTCCAGCCCTCCAGGAGTGATCCCTGAGTGCAGAGCCTGGAGGAAGCCCTGAACATCACCAGGTTTGGCCCAACAACAACAACAATTTTTACCAACTTTAAAATTAAAACCTGTTTTTTTTTTTATTATTGAGATTGTCAGACCTTACGCTCAATCCAGAAAGCAGATAAAAATATGACAGCTTCTCCTTCAAAATTTCCTGTTTGCACTCTTCAAGAAATGTACGTCAGGAAAAAATAAAGCAATATAGTCCAAAGGTTATCAGAAATTCCTACTTGGGGGAACAAGATTCCATGGGCGTAAAGAAAAAAAAAAAACCAAGGGGGAGGAGATAGACCAGAGGGCTGGAGAGAGTGCTGTGCACCCTGGGGCCGGCAGAACCACCTGGAGTGACCACCAGCACCCACCACCAGCACCGACCACCAGCACCGAGTGGGGAACAGGCTCCAAGGAACAACACATGTGCCTCCGTGGAGGAGGGAGGGAGGCAGAGGAGGACGGTGGGAGAGAAAAAAAAAGGGAGCTAAAAGGAGGGGACAAGGAAAA